TTACATAGCTAAGGTGAAGCTAAACTCTGTTTGCAAAAATAATGGCACCAAACATCCCTCCATCCCTCCCGCAGCCCTCTCTACTCAGTTAGGTTCCATATTTCATTGCAATTGTCACAAAGAACTCAGTGTACTCACTCACAGTTATGGGGTTTATGAGGAAAGTTGCTGTTGCTAAGTGGCCATTGAGTCAGTTCGGACTCATAGTGATCCTATATAGGGTTTCAGAGGAGGGGATGGTGGTTTTGAACCGCCTCATTTTAGCTATGAATCGGGCTGTGAACCACAAGGTCAACAGTTCGAAACTACCAGCTGTTCCACAGGAGAAAGATGAGAATTTCTGCTTCCATAAAGATTCACAGCCTCGGAAACCCAGTGCAGGATTGCTACGAGTCGGAACCAACTCCATGGCACATAACCACCACCACCTTGGGGTTAGCAGTCCAGAGCTTATCCTATAATGCCACATGAGGACTCCAAGTAAAGGCACTATTGTTAAATGCCATCAAGTTGGTCCAGACTCATATTGACCCTGTACAGGGTGTCCAAGGATTGGCTGGTGAGTTTGAACCGCCAACCTTGAGGTTAGCAGTCCAGTGCTCATCCTCCAAGTTACAATTCTGGGTCAGAAATGCTCTAGGCAGTGCAGCCTCCCTCAGCTGTGCCCAAAAGCCGGCCTCTTCCTGCCTGTCCAAAGCTACCGTTCTTTTCCGAGAGCTGATAAACACCCACAGGACACCCACTCCCCCATAAGCCTCAGCCGTAAAGCACTCAGCCCTCGTTCCGTGGGTCAGCAAATCTAGCTCCCACACTAAGTACCTGGTGACAGCCCACTCTACAAGCAAACTTCCTGCCAAGTCGCTCGGCCTGGGACACTCACTGCTCTGTCCTGTGTCTGACTCTTGGTTCTGCTGCGGCTGCTCCTCTGCTCCTCCGCCCCTCCTCAGTGTCACAGCTTTCTGTCCCTGGGTTGAGGAGGTTCAACGTGCAAGAATCTGTTGCTTTTGAGAGACCTCGTTTTGTACCGTGTTAGCACTCCCAAGTTTTTACAATCACAACGAACTCTGTTTGCAATCACAGCTGAATCGTATCATCCTATCAGCATCTTCTCCGGCCTTCTCCTATCCGGACCTATCAAGACAAAGCCATTTGGTGGGTGTTACAGGACACGTGGTAGAAGAGCTTCATGACGTAATCACTGTGCTGCTGTGTTCTGGGTGCAAACATGGTGTCATGTCATATACAAGTGCTGCTGGCAGTCAAGTCCTTCCAAATGTTTCTAACGGCTGCCAGCACCCCACCCAGTGTTGATCAACGATGACCCCCATGTAAAGGACACTTTCCTACCACTCTCTTGTCCTATGCAGTACGAACTGACCTCAGCCTGCTGCTTCTCCTGCCCCCTTCCCTGTAGACTCAGTACCCTTTGCCTGGCCCCCCACAACTCATGGTCTCCCCTCACTCTGTACTCTCTTTAGCTGACCTGACCCTTCCTTGAGGCATTAGTTACCACATCCACCACGATGACTCACACATGCCCTCTCCAGAGCTGTCTTTCTCTCAGCTTTTCTCTCAAAGGCATCTCAAAGCCTCCACATGCACAAGTGAACTCAAGAGTTGCCCCAAGTTTGTGGCCTTTGGCCTTTCAGTCCACCCACTCCATGAGTGACCAAGTCACTGTTAGCCCTTAGGTCTCCCCAAAATCCATCCTCTGTTCCCACCCCAACCACTGGCCAGTCCGTATGGATGGGCACTGTAAAATGTCCACCTGTTCTATGACAAGACTTGCTGACCTATCTCCTTGCCTTTTCAGAGCCATTTCCACCCTGCAGTTAGAGGGATCTTATCAAATGCAAATCTAATCATATTGCTCTGTTGCCTAATTGCTCTCAAGGCCAACATCTCCTGAATATGGCCAGTTATGTCCACTGGTTTCTTGCAGGGCCCGGCTGCTTCCTGCATCTGCCTCATCCCTCAGCTCCACCCACCCTGGCCTTCCTACAAGGCCATTGAGTGCGCTGGACTCACCACCTAAAACCTTCACCCTGCTCTTCACCCTTGTCCCCTCCACAGTCTCCATGCCACATGGTCACATGGATGGAGACTGTCCCTCTCCTTGGCAGCATTTATCACAGTGTTTCCTGTTTTAATATGTGTTTCCTGATTAACACTGGTCAGCATCAGAATGGTCAGAATTAACAATCTTTTTTATTTGCTGTTGAATCCCCATCGTTAGACGCCATTGAGTTGGTTTTGACTCAGAGTGACCACATGCACTATTTGGTCCTGTTTTGACTCAGAGTGACCACATGTTGGTCCCGACCCATCCTCACAGTGTTGTTCAGTTTGAACCCACTGTTACAATCACTGGGTCAATTCATCTAATTGAGGGTCTTCCTCTTTTCTTCTGACCCTCCATTTTATCAAGCATGACGTCCTTCTCCAGGGACTGGTTCCTCCTGATAACAAGTCTCACCATGCCCACCTCTAAGGAGCAGTCTGGCTGGGCTTCTTCTTCTGGCAGAAAATTTTAATAATCTTCATCAATACCAGAATTCAAAGGCATTAATGCGTCCCTGGTTTTTCTTAGTCATTGTTGGGCTTTCACCTATATATGAAAAGATTGAAAATACTATGGGGCTTGGGTCAAGTGGACCCGACTCTTCAAAGTAACATCTTTATTTTTTTTTTGGAAACTTTAAAGGGATCTTTTTTAGCAGATTTGCCCAGTGCAATCCGTCATTTGATCTCCTGACTGCCGATTCCACGGATGCTGATTGTGAAGTCTTAAACAAAATGAAATCCTTGACAACTTCAATCGTTTCTGTTTATCAAGATGTTCCTTATTGGTCCAGTGTGAGAATTTTGTTTTCTTTATGTTGAGGTATGGAGTCCTGGCATGGCACTGTGGGTTAATGCACTGGACTGCAAAGTTGGTTTGAATCACAAGATGGACGGTTCAAGCTCACCAGCAGCTCCTTGGAAACCCTACACAGGGTCACTATGGGTTGGAACCGACACCACGGCACTTAACAACAACAACATGCTGAGGTATAATCTATATGGAAGGCTGTAGGTTTTGATCTTCATCAGTGTTTCAAGTCTTCTTCACTTTCAGCAAGGTTGCTGCATACTGCAGATTGTTAGTGAATCTTCCTCTAATTCTGATGCTGTGTTCTACATATATACTCCAGCTTCCATGGTGAAAGGACACAACCCTGGTATATACCTTTCCTGCTTTTAAACCACAGTATCCCCTTGTTCTGTTCAAATGACTGCCTTGCGGCCTATGTACAAGTTCCACATGAGCACATTTCAGTGTTCTGGAATTCACATTCTTCTCAATGTGATCCGCAATTTGTCATGGTCCACACAGTTGAATGCCTCTGTGTAGTCAATAAAGTACAAGTAAACATCTCTCTGGTATTCTCTGCTTTTAGCCAAGATCCATCTGACGTCAGCAATGATAACCCTCGTTCCACGTTCTCTTCTGAATTGGGCTTGAATTTCTGGAAGCTCCCTGTTAATTTACTGCTGCAAGCATTTTTAAGAAACCATCAGTAAAATTTTACTTACATGTGATATTAACACATAATAATTGTTCAATTATTTCTGGATTCCACTGAGTCACCTTTCTTTGGAATGGGCACATTCCAGTAGGTTGGCAGGTAACGCCTTCTAGATTTCATGGCATAGATGAGTGAACGCCTCTAATACTATCCATTTATTGAAGTATCTCAATTTGTGTTTGACTCTACCACTTATAAATAAGTACGCTGCCCAGTGTTAACTGAAGAGGGTGGATAGATTGCATTACCTGCGGGTGTTATTTCAACGTGGTGTGGAATTACAAAATAACCAACAGGGCAGAGAAGCCACGAGACCAGCTTTGCTGCTGTTGTTAAGTACCGTCGAAGCAACCTTAATAGGGTTTCCGAGGAGTGGCTGGTGGGTTTGAACTGCCAACTTGCGGTTAGCAGTCCAGTGCTGATCCCGCGGTGCCACACCAGGACTCCGTGAGCTAGAAGCAGCTAGCTTTAAAACAAGCAGCCAAAAGAAAATCAGTGCTCCATGTCTTTATAAGAGATGATTTTATTAGTTCACTTTTTAGGATAAAGGAATTTAAAAATATCTATGACAACTTTCAGAGATAAAAACCTGAGCATTTCAGAATGTTTTCACTTGGAAAAAACTTGAAACTTAACGAACTGGGTAAAGCAGCCTGAGCTACAAGAGAAAAGCAAGATGGAAAATGCGTGAATGCTGATTTTTTTTAACAAAAAAGAAAACTATACTCATTGTTTCAAAGCTTGTTGGCGAGACTAATTTATTCAGTGCCATCATATGGCAATTCCTCTTAGAGAAGAAAGATTTTACTCTAATCCAACCCATAAATTACCTTCCATGGCAATTAGGGTAGGAATAGGATAAGATCTAGGGTAGCTTAGATTCAATTCCATTTCCTAATGGATTGGTACTAAACAAAGACTTAAAAATAATTGACAATTATGACAATCTAGATTGTGTTCAAGAGAAGTTAGGTTAAGGTGTAAGAAGGGGGCCAAGCTCCTCGTACAGGAAGCAGATCCATTGACCTCAGGCGAGGTCAATTCAAAATGGCTGCTCTACCAAACACCACAGGCCCCACAGTCATTTCCTGTGAGGAGCTCTTATTCTAAGTCTTAATAATTACAATGCAAAACTGTCAGTTAAATTCTAATAATGATTGTATACCCAACTCCAAAAAGCACACACATACACACACACACACACACACATAAAACAATTTTCCTCTCAGAAATATAACCAGGAAAGGGAGTTAAGTTCTAGAAACTGAGACCCAGTCCCTGAAAAAGGAAAAACCCACTCCCCACTCCAGGCACAGGACTTAGAGTCTGCTCTCTATAAGATGTAATTTGTGTATTCTGTCCTTGGGGAAAAAATAATCACAGTGGCATCCAAGAACCTTCTAGGGTTCAGCGTCCCAAAGTCAGACGATCTCAACATCCAGAAATATCCTTTGATCTGTTCTTCCTCTGATATCTCGTGTCCTTGGGATCAAAGCCTCTTTCATGGGCCCCAAATAACGCCCACTGAGGGGTTTTGGCCATATAATCCTTCGCGCTGAAAGTTTTTGATCCACCGCTATTTTCATATTCTTGGATGAGCTCCTGGAAGCGCTGATAATCGATCCACGTCCACCATTCTGTGTCAATCTTGAACTGGGAAGAAAGAAAGAGGAAAAAAAACAGTCATGTCAGAAGCAAAAAGGTCTTAACAGCACAAAACACCCATAGAAGAAAAGATGAAATAACTATCAGAAAATCAACAATGAGCTTTCTGTTTTCTATCATGTTTAAGAAAATTCTTTCTTCCTCCAGATCTAGTTCCGTATCAAGGCAGGATTTCTCTCCTGGGGCTGTTGACACACCACTCTGCAAAGACCCCACTGCTGTCTGAAGCCTTCTTCCTGGAACTAGAGGTCAAGTTGATCTTGAGCAGTAGTAGCTACCAATGTCTTTCCAAATCAACTGCAACTCATAGTGAAACTGCCCCAGCAGGTCTCCAGTCTTTAAGGAAGCAGACTGCCACATCATTCTCCAAACCTCCAACCTCAGCAGTTAAGCGCTTTGAACCACCAGGGTTCCTTTGTACTAGACTCAGCGGGTTGAATTTTTTGCCTTTACCATGTGCTAACGGCTGAGCGATTTTCATGATCTACCAGGTATGAATCTTCATGGCTGTGTTTGCAGCACTTAAGAGTAATAAAAATGTGTTTGTTTTCATTAGGGAACTTTGTGTTATGGGTGGACCCCGTCAGGGTGACTTATTCTGCAATACTAACTCAGTGACCTAAATAGCCTGACCAGTCAAACATGGACAGAATGCCTAATGACTCAAGAGCATGATTAACAATGCCAGATCCACAAAGAGAAATAATCGAATTAGTACTCTTTTAAGAAAATTGCTTTTCAAAAAATAAAAAAAGAATGAGCAGGAATGAAGAAACTGACAGAAAGTTGAAGAGGTTCCAATTAAAGAAAACATGAAAGGTTTGATTTTGTTTCTTAACTTTGTTTTGTTTTTCCCCTGGGGGAGGGGTGAAGATATATATACCAAAACATTTGCCAATTCAACAATTTTTCCATGAACAAATCAAGAGACATTGATGACACCCATCATGTGGTGTAAGAATCATCGCTCAGTCACGGACTGAATTGTATCTCCCCAAGATCTGTCAACTTGGGTGGGCTGAGATTCTCAGGAGCTTGGTACGTAACCAAGCTAACCCATGACATAATCATCCCCCATGATGTGATCTGATGATGACGTAAGGGGATTTAGGGCAGGAGTCAGTCCTGACTCCTAACCACCCCTAATGCAAAATGGCAGGAAACACTGCCTGGTCCTGCCTCTCACAATCATTGCTATGCTTGAGCTCATTGGTGGAGCCATGTTGTAGTTCATCTCACAGAGGGGCTTCATCTTTTTTCTGACCCTCTACTTTACCAAGCATGACGTCCTTCTCCAGGGACTAGTCCCTGCTGACAACATGTCCAAAGTAGGTGAGGCAAAGTCTCCTCATCCTCGCTTCTACGGAGCATTCTGACTGTCTCATCTAGCCATGGGCTTTTGTAACTCCCACCAAATGACTAGACAAGACCAGGCTAAATAAGGTATATGGGAACTTAACACAGGCTTGGTTAGTTTTGCCATCAAGAAAGAAGAGCCACGATCAGAGCCCGAGATCCCTGAGTGGTAAAGCTTCCTGGTGTCCTTGCCTAGAGACTGACTCAGCCCCTTTGGGAAGATGGTGGGTTTGCAGAAGTGGCTGCCCTTTGGGCATTTACCCACAGCATTGCAGGAGCTTTGTAACACTTTGCCCATGCAGGGCAGAGACCAAGGTGTCCTGTGACTGAGAATGAGAGAGGCGTGCCTGCAGTACCTAAGATGGGGCACAGCTGACCAGAGAGTGGCTGAATCCCAAGCTGTTGCCCTATTAACTTCCCTAATCAACTTGGTCAGTGTAAATATCATTTGTGAGTTTTGTGTGGTCACTGCAACAGATTATGGAGGCCAGCAGAGAAGCAGAGTGTCCTTGGGAGGGATAGTTAGTGTCAGAACAGGATAATGAAGGTGGAGGATGGAGGCATGTCTGACCTTTGCCTCATAGGAACTGGTCTCTGGCTTCCTTCCTTGTGAAGCTCACACACCACCTCCACACTATTTTTACACTGGCTATACTTCTTCCAAGGCAGATTTGTTCACCCTTCTGGCAGTCCATGATACATTTAATATGCTTTGCCAACACCTGCATTCAAAAGCATCAATTCTTTGGACCTCCTTATTCATTGTCCTGCTTACACATGCATATGTGGTGAATGAAAATACTATATATCTTGGGTTAGAACCATCTCAGTCTTCAAAGTGACATCTTTGCTTTTTAATACTTTTAAAAAGGATCTTTTCAATTCCTCAACATAATCAAAACCATATATTCAAAACCAATAGCCTACATCACACTCAATGGAGAGAAACTGAAAGCCTTCCCCCTGTGAACAGGAACC